AAAAAAGAAAGGCAGCCCTTATGTCCCCCCAGGGCACATTCAGACACAAACATAGACAAACACACACTCACACCAGGCCCAAATTTCCCAGAAACCAATTAATCTACCAGTATATCTTTGGGTTGTGGGAGGAAATCCACACAAACATGGGGAGAACATGCAAACTCCACACAGACAGCTCCCCGTGAATTGGACAATGGGCTCCAGTGCTTCAAGGCAGGAATGCTAACCACTGTGCAATATTTTTATGTAATAATGAAAAAGAGCATGAGAGATGATAAAGTGGTATATCTCTCCTGAAAAGAATAAAGGAATTCATACTGTGGTATTTTTAAAAATAAATCCATCATGGCAAGAAAAATAAACTAAATATTTGAAAAAGTTTTTACATTTCATGGATATGCTCCCTGGCCAAATAGAAAATGTAATTAAATCAGCTTCAAAACTACAATTATTTTTATGTAGGTGTTAGGTAACAGCAATTTGTTTTTCTAAAATATAGCATTAGAAACCATGCAGCCCTGTAGATATTGACAAAAATCTTTGTGAGAAAATCAAAATGTTTTTTTTTCCATGCCTTCCAAATTAATACAGGGAAAAACACCTACTGAACACAATAGGTTGTAATATAACTTCTGGCATGAATTTCAGGCTTCAGATCTTTTCCACAAAATTATAAATTGAAGTTTTTCGGATCCTTTTTTTTGGGAAAGGATTTCAACCTAGGAGAAAAGTGACGTGCTTCGAAAACATGCCACAGAGACATTTCCTTTTGGTGTGCTCGTTCAAAGGCCGGTTTAAACACATGTACGGGTGGCTTGTAAGATGACACTAGCCCTAGGCTCTTTCGTTTTTTTGTTTCAAAGAGTGATAGTTTGTCAGGTTGACTGACGTGAATACTCATAGAACACATCACATCAAAAAGCACCTCCCTTCAAACTCTCACGAGCCAACAGCTTTGATCATTTCAGATTTGAGCGCTAACTGGGAAAGGTACTTCTGACGGGGATCGGAGACCATCACAGGTAGCCTTGTCAAATGTGTTGCTGGGCCGAGGAACCTTGCTGGGGAGTTAAAAGAGGCGACTGACAGCCGAAAAAGGGGAGCGAGAGGAGAGAGGGCAGGGGGAGCGGAGGAGGAAAGTGGATGGACTTTGAGGACATGGAAAACCACGAGAGCTGAAAACCAGGCCTGGATGCCACAATGAAGGACTCCGCCCTGTCTCTCCTGAGCCGAGGATGTGGGCATTTGGTGAAGAAAGAAGACCACAGCACTGATGGGAAGCTGGAGGTCTACTTCGAGCCCAAAGTAAGGATAGCAGGTTGCTTTTAACCCTTACGTAAGACCTTACCTTATGGACTTGGCCATCACAGCCTCTGATATTCATGTTTCGTAAATAAGGTTAGGAATGTGGGGAAATTATCTAACTCGTCACTGTTGATCGATCAGTATTGTAGAGTTACTACACTGTACCCAGGTGAATTTCACTGGGTTCAGAAATTCCCAACCATTACCGTCTTCTTTCTTGAGACCTTTCTCAAGACTTTGGTCTTGGAAATTAGTCCACGCAAAATGGTTCCCTCTCCCCCATTAATTGGCTTGCTTTCTCTTGACGTTTGCCTTTTGCCTGTACAAATTGATGACTGTAGAAACCCTGTTTTTTTTTCACATGAACTGGGGGAAGAGCAGCAAAGGAACACAATAGAACTCCAGTAGTTTAACTGGGTTCACAGGCGGTTCACACCATAAACATGCCCACACCATAGGACAGGTTACACCACACAGCTCAGAGATTACTTGGACATGACATAGCTGTGTTTTCCAGGCTCCCCTGCAGGGAGTCAATATTGGCCAAGAGCTGCCAGGCTTGAGAAAGTCAGCCGTGTTAGGATTAACTTCTCACACTGCACAAGAATCATCGTCTTTCCTTGTCTTATTCTTGAGAGCCTACAATTTTACTGGAGAGAGTCGCACCTTTCCTTCCTGTGGTGTTCTGCCTCCACAGCTGGAACAGTGAGCTTGCAGTGTAAAAACACCATCCTGAGTGACAGTCCACATTCTGAGTGTCTGTTGTGTTCCACTCTCTTGCGTGACATGATGGCAATAGCAGTGAAATGAGTATGGAGGACTTTGGGACACAATGTGGCGAAGACAGTTATTCCTGACACATGATGTCAATAGCTTATTTATTGTCAATAGCAAATCAAATATCATCTTCCCCGAAGTCTAACAGTGCCAAAACCTTTTTCTTTGTTGGAGAGGGGGCATCCTAGAGTTTTATTTGGACTGGATAATTGGGAAGAGAAAAGTAATTAATGGAATGGAATGGGAGTCAATGAGAAGCCCCCCAACGAAAGAAAAAGAGTCTGTTTGGTGCATGTGTGTTTCTGTGTAGCAGGTAGAACACATTTTGTTTTAGCTTTTATTTGCCATTTGTTCTTATTTGTTTTAGGATTATTTTAATTGGAAATCCCAGCAAGCAGGTTTCGACCTCTCCAAAACTGAGAAGGGACATGAGGCACCTTACAAGGCAGAGCCAGCACCTCCCAAAACCTACAGTACCAGGAAAGGACCTCTCATTCTGTACTCGGAGGACATGGCTTTGTCATCATGGGACACTGGGAGACCAGGCAGGAAGAGGAAAGGAAACCATCGCTACAGACAGGAAGTTGAGCTGCAGCTTCGCACTCTCAGAGATTTGACAGGAGCAATCTTGGCCTACGGAAATAAACAGGTACGTCAACATCCGTAAACGTTATAAAACACTGCTCATAATGAGATTTTACAGTTGATTACCAGAACAAAAGATGTGGATCTCTATGGTGTAATCAGCTTTTTCCTTGATTACTCTGCTCTAGTTCTGTAACCCCTGACGATGGTAATGTCATGCTTAATGGAAACAAGCATGGAGACCTGTTTAGGTCGGAAAAAGGTTTAGGTTAGCAAATAAGGTAGCGATAAGCTGATTTCAGGACTAAATTGTTCAACTGTGGGACACAAATCTTATCTTCTTGAATAACATGCCTGTGAGCTCTACATTCTGTGTCCTTGGCTTTAGAGTGGGGATTTTTCAGGATTTTTTCACTGAGAACATGGCTGAAAGTTTTCAGGCTACTTTCATTTCAGCAAGAGTTAAAATCCTTTTTGTCACCAATTTGAGTCCATGTCTGGTAAACAACATAACCACATGCTACTTTTATCAGGAGTTTAAGTAGAAGAGAGGAAAGGGATTTTAAAAAATGAGTCTTGCAACAAATGAAATAAATTAATTAAATGGACTGAGAGACAAGACAGTAAACAGAACTCTGGTAAGATGTTATAATAGGGTTTTTTGGGTGCATATTCTCAGTGGTGAGACCTTTTTCCTATGAATGCTGCATTCTTTCTGATGCAATTATGAAAAATTCTAAATGTGGTGATAACATATACAAACACTGATGAAAACCTTTTTTCTTTGTCTAATACATGTATATACTTATAAGCAGTTTGGGGCTTGGATAACTATACCTTCATCAAATACATCCTATAGGAATGCTTTAAATAATAAGGAGAGATATATAATGTATATGCCTTCCTTTTTAATGCTTAAAGTGCTAAATGGAACTCCCTTAGAATATGTACAAAAATACATCTTGTTGAAATTCATGTTAAGTGGTTTTCTGCTCAAAATAACTTGCTAAGGTTTTGATTATCTCAGCTTTATCTCTGGCTGGTGCCATAACCTGGACTGAATTCATCTCCATTGACAGCTCATAATCTTAATGGTTTATAGTTAGGGGATTCTACTCTGTGCCTGGGAGGTCTCTGCACTGCTGGAGGTCAATGATGGGGGCAATAAAACTAGAGGGAAGAGTTTATAGCACAGAGGAACAAAGCGCTTGACCTTCCGGATAAGAAAAACCTAGTGCTATTCAACATGTTGCGACATGTTGTGTCTTTTAAAAGTCATCTTGGGGATTTTGCTTTCTATTTTCATACCACCAGAAAGCAAATTCTACATTGACCCCTTTTGTACAGGCAGTGAAATAGCCTGGAATATTCCAATATTCAATATTAGTAATGAGTTCGGCTCACTGCTGTTGCTCTCTTATCAATCTGGGAAGCATGAGGATAAACTTATACCCCCTGAAACGTAGGCTGGTGAGGTATTACTGTACTGTCTGTGACATCAGACTGTAAACCGAGCAAAGACGTGATACAGACATTACTGATGAAGACTAGATTCACAGTCTCCCAGCCAGAGATAGGGATCTTAATGACGAGTGAGCTAAGGATGACCCAGCTACCTTGACCATTCATTCCAGTCTTAATTAATAGCTAGGTAATAAGTAGCTAGTATAATTTAAATTTGAATGGGCAACCTCCAAACTCAGGGACAACTATCCTACTCTCTGCATACAGGCATTTTTCTGGATGAGCTACTCCTGATCTTCTATGTATTCTCACTGTATTTATCCATAATTCTCAAGAAGCAACACCGATTTCCTGTACGGTTACCATATGGTAATTTGTTGTTGCTGCTGTTTTTGGCTACCTTTTAATGGTTGGAGTTTTTGTTGAAGATTGTTGGCAGGTTAAGGATACATTGAGTCCAGATAGCTGTTTATGCAGCTGTTTATAAGCACTTATGGACCTTTTGTCCAGCGTTTTTTTTTAATAGTTCTCTTTAGAAGTTCGGACCCAGACAGGTCAGTTATGTTTGGCACCGTTCACAAAACTTCATGCGTTCTCATAGAGGCTCATTCAGATTACAAGAACAGAAAAAAACATGAAACATCACCAGGGCTGCCACCAAAAAGCAGTTTGATGTTGTTGTTTGTCAGGATTAAGGTTTTCTGGTAAGACAACCCCAGCACTGTCAAATGAACAGAACCAGCATTAGCAAAATTAAAACTTCTACTCCTACGTGGATCGGTTGTGAACTGAGAGGAATAGGGAAGATGTCGATTCACATTTGTCTTTATATCCTCTAAAGAAAATCTGTTGACTGTTCCGAAAACACCTTCACAGTGGAGGTAAGGTTGCGTTCTGGCTACAATAGGCCTTTAAGGGAGACTCTAAAGTGTCCATCACAAACGAAGCAAATTAAAATGTTATCTAAGGAAATTAATGACTGGAGTGTGGCCTTCAACGATTTTGAGCAGGTTTCCACACGTTCCTTAAACATTTGCATATTTTATCCATCCCCTGACATTCTGCTTATTTGAAGGGTTCCAAAAGGGTTTTGCTAACTGTTTTCCTAGACGTTTTTGCTTTCACACTGCATTTTTTTAGCCCTGCTGTCATGCTAGTCAAATTTTAAGTGCGTTAAATTTTCTTAAATATTCAAAGTCATAACATGCCAAACAAATATGCCATAATCTCGTTCTTTGTGATGGCCAGAGTCAAACAGTTGTGATGGATGTGCAGCCGAATGAAAATAAATTAAATTTCCCGACCAAGCACTGCAAACTTTTCCGACGGAAAAACAAGAAAACACACGCTAGGCGTACCACCCTCTGAATCATCAAAGCAAATAATTGAAACCAAAGAATACAGGAGATTTTCTTTTTCTAATTTTTTTGGCAAGCTTTTCATGTTGCAAACCATAGCCAGTGTTTGGTCTCAAAGCCCATGCTTCCCCTGCTGGGAAGACCATTCAACAGGCCCCAATTGAATATCTACCACAGTAAATACATGTACTGTAATTGGGCAGGTTATTCATGCTTGTTCTAATCACTTTACACACATTTTCTTGGGATTTTATTTGTTTTCACAGCATTTCGCTAGACTGCAGTAGGATAATACCATGATGCCCACGTGTGATCCTATCCCTAAAAACCATGGTGATATCATGGCATAGTAACTCTATGATACAAAAGAGTAAAACTCAGAATGAGACGAAGGTAAAAGTGAAACAGAATAATCTTTCACAAGAGTGGGAAAATGAAGAAAAAAAAAAGGAATGCTCCATTAGCTTTATAAGACTGCAAAATAAGGAAGCAACTGAGCATGATTATATACATACATGAGTATTTAAAAAAGCATCCCTGATACAGTATGTTAGACACACACATTACAGCTTTGTTCTGTCTTTTGAAGGTACGGAGAACCACAGACCACATCTGTTCGTAAATGAAACTGCTGATAAACATGTGGAGAAGAGTTTTAACTTTCCCCTAATTGGGTATGCAGGTCATTTGGGACATATTCAATACGTCCTGTCTATCTATGAGGGCAGAGGTAATGCTCCAGGGTAATGCTGGCGTAGAATCGTGGCAGAGGAAAGGTCATGTCTATAAGGGTGGATGCAACTAACAAGATCTTCCACGAGGCACGTTCTGACAGCTTCAGAATGTAAAAGAAATCTCTGCATTCAATCGGCTCTACAGGATCTACCTCCACAGTGGCGTGTAGGGAGGGCGTGACTGAGACCACGCACAAGAGCTGCAGTGTTGAGTTTCTGTAGACTTCCTGGAGCTGTGTTATCCCTGCCGTAGACCAACAAGGTAAACCGCAACTAGATGGACAGATGAGCAAACAAAAAAACAACAACAGACTTCAACTCCGAGTATTTTGACGAGCTAGGAACGAGCTGAAAGCTTACAAAAAGTAGATTAAATCATCACAGGAAGAGATAATTTAGGTTAAACAGACAAGGCTTTATGTATTGTTCTTATTCCAAAACAACTGAACTGTGCAAAGTCAGCTAAATGAAATGCTATTTTTGGTATCCCAATGCTATTGGCAGATCAGTTTCTGAAATGATTTTAGGAACTTGATGTTTAGTTTGTCTCCAGTTCCCAGTGAAACATAATAAATGAATTCACACAAGTTCCTGAGGCTCCTTCTTTGCTATTTTATTTATTTGGCATGATTAGAACTGTTGGACGAAGGGTTTCTTTTTAAAAACATTTAAAATGGAAAAGTTAAATAATTACCAATCAACTTCCCTTGTGGTTTAAGTGTTGTGAAGTTTGTCACATAGAAGAGCTGCAATAATCCTCCATGGAGCTGGCTGCGTATCAGTGGAATTGCTGTGTTAACTAGGGAATAAATTAACAGGTTTCCAGGCAGATGGAATTTCAGCTGAAAAGCTGCATTCTCTGTAGCAAGTGCAATACCTATACAGGCAAGAAAACCCTTATGGTAAAATTGCAATGCATAGTGGAACCAAAATTGAATTAAATTTAAAAACATCTTTAAAATGTTGTGGTTTTCAAGCTTGAATGCAGCGTTTACAGTATTTCAAAGGGTAAATGATTCTCGATTTTTATTTTTGCGGTCCTTTTCCTTCTTTGTTTGATTTGATTTACTATTATCGTTTTTCAGCGTTTACACTACCGCTTTTCTAGATTGAGCACATCTGACAGAGGAAAACCGGTAACTCAAATGTTGACTGTTGCTGTTTGAATGGTGCCTAGGGGTTTCTGTAGTAACTGGTGCTTCCTAATTGCATGCCTTGTATGAGGGTTGTATTATACCAAGAGCATGTGTTATAAGAAATAGGTTAAACTACATTATTCAGGTATGTGTGCAAAACAAGGGATATGAGTTAAGATCTGAATATAATGTATGGGCTTTATAACGGAAATACATGAGAAAAATTACACCCTAATCTGTTATCTCCATTCTCCTCTATGCATATATATATATATCTCGCCTTCTGCACTTCCTTTTTCTGTCACACCCCTGTTGCCACCCCATTTACACCTTTATAGCGGCTCCCTAGCTAATTCCCAGTGAAAGCTGTGGGGGGGTTCAGTCAGCCTTACAGTCAGGATGTGGTTCTCTCAGCTGGGTGAGTTACACCACATAATGCATTTGTCCCTCTTTCGCATTCATTAGCATCTAACTGAACTCCATATTAGAGGCAATAGTTTAGGAACATAGGCCTTGAACCATTGTCTGTCATGGTCCTGTATTGGTATGAATACAGCGTTCTTCCTGTCTCACAGTTCATGTTGGTCAAAACTTGGTTAGTTTCCACTGGTAGTTTAATGTTAACCTGGCCTGATAAGCTACTCCCACATGAATTAGAGAAGGCCCATTAGCAGATCCAGGCATACCAAGCAATAAACCATTTGCTACATTAAGTTATGTGGTTTTGTCTGACCTTTCTGATGATTTACAGCTAAATGTGGAACAACAGCAGATTCACACATAGTTTTTTTAAAATATAGATTTCACAAAACCGAAATAAATTTGCCGTATTTTGTCGGATTTGAAGTAAGGACTTTTCCTGATGCAAAACAAATGCAGGGCAAGCTGTTATAATTTACCTTAAAAAAACACGATTTAACAACTTTCAGTCTCATTTGCATCTCACAAAAGTGTTCGTGCGTCTGGAAAAAAAAAAACCTCTGGAGTGGTTTCCATGGAAATGAAACACTGCGGTTCCTCTCAGTGCAGGATGGGTACAAGGCAACATTCTCTAGCACTGCTACAGAATTCACTTCAGGCCCCGTCTCCAAGGATACAGAGATAAAAATACATTAGGCAATTAAAATCATACTGGCGGATGGGCTGAGTGTTGTGTTTTTTGCAGAACCCATAAATTAAGAAATTCGATGGACTCCTTTTTAAAAATATTTTGATGGCTTGACTATTTTAATGCTGCAGTCATTTAAAAAGCCAGTAACTAAGGTAAGCCTGTCTCCCTGTTTCTGCTGTTTCTGATGGATATTGAGGTATCACTGTATCACAGGCATTTTTTATAGTTTATCTTTAATGCATTCTAGTTCCTATGTTCATTGATGTAAATGGTGTGGCATCCTCTGGTGTCCTCTGCACTCCATAGCCAGCTGTATTAAGACCTTACATTTTTTAACATTTTTCAGATTGTAAAAACTCTCAATAAAATGTACTGAAAATAAATTCAGAACAGACAACAAAACTGAAGGGATCTTCAGGGGTCTTCTGGTGTCCATTTCCTTTTAACTCTCATGTAACGTTATGCCATAATTCATGGGAGACTTAATCAGTATTATTTGACGGGCACATGCTCAAAAAGTTTTTGAGGCTATATGCTGAAAAGCATCGCTTTCGATGCAGACTTCGAGTGACCCATGGTAACCCCCAAACCATAAACCCCGCTTTTGTATTTGAAAAAAATGCACATAAAGATTTAAAAGACTCCAACAATCAGCAGCACCCCTGCCCCATTAGCAAACATCAGTGCCACCTGATTGATGGCTGGTACAATTACTCTGATCTAAGAAGCATCCCATTATCACTTTGCAGCAGCCCCAGTGGCTTCAGACTGCGCACCGACACTAGACTCATACGAGTTGCCACAACAGGACAACCAGGCAGCAACCCATCACAGAGGGTCCAGATGTGTTTCTGCTCCCGCAGTTCCACTTCAGGTCTTACCCTGCCATCTTCAAGAAGTTCTTCCATCTCCTCCCAGCCCATCGAAAGGGAGTCGGGTTCAGATCCCCGAATCCGGAGTGGCGGAGACAGTGCGGTAACGCGACTGAACCCAGAGAAGCCGGCAGCAGCCCTGGGGAGAGTTCTCTTTTCTTTGTGAAGGGCAGGGCGCCCTGGAATGGGTTTGGCCCCAAGCAAGGGGCCCCATGCCTTGGAAAGCGGCCAGTGGGCTCTCGCTGGCCCTTGAAAATCCAGAGGGGGGTGTGTAAATCTAGAACCGATCCGTACCCATATCCGTGGGGAGAAGGGTTCCATATGACCAACACGTCCTCCGGCCAACACTACCCACACAGGAGACGTTGTGTGACAGAGTGATTCAAAGGCCCTCCCTGGTGAGGTCTTTTGTCTCATCCCAGGCACCCCTGTGAGTGCCTACAGGATCCCCTCAGCCTACCTAGCACGACTAATTGCAGTCTTAACAAAACGGCAATCCTCTGACCTGTGGATAAAGCTACAAGGCCATCTCTCCCACCTTTCTCCGGCTCACCTGCTGCAGTGGACGCGCACTGAACTGCGGGGTGTGGGTGTGCTCATCGCAGCAGAGCCCTGGAGAGTTTCAGACGGAGATAAGACCTGACACCCAGACGTTCCGAATGATGACAGGTCACACATTTGACCCGGCCTTTGATGCCCTTCTCAACAGTTTGCAAAGGGAATTGTAGAACTGCCGGCAGCTTGCAGCTCTTGGTGCAATCAATCCCATTGGCCTGCATATGTCCTCTCGCTTTCTTGACTTTTCGAACCACCACCCTGCATTGCAAAACCTTGCTTTCAAGGTTTGCTTCATGCGACAACCTGCACGACCTGCAAAAGTGAGAGCCAGTCAGCCCCTGACTGCTCATGACCATGAACCCAATATCTGCAACTTGGGCAGATACTAATGACACATCCCATGTTGTTAGAGAGGTCTACAGCCTGCGGTTTCTAAAAATGTTATGCATGGGCACTTGGATAAATGTCTGTATGGTATGTGTCATATACTGTATTATTTTTTATCAATAGCATTCAGAACAGCCAGTGTACCCCCAGGTGATGTCCTGACAAAAATCACTCATACAGTATCCCAAAAGTAAATGGGCATTCTGAAAGTGAGTACAAGTACTTTAAAACTGCTTAGGAATTAAAGAGGACAAACAGATGTAAGCAGTTGAAACAGCATGCAGAGATGTACAATGCTACATTCTTCAAAACCACATACTCTTAAAAGAGAAGTGATTTTAAAATGTCTGAGTCTTAGTAAAGCCACAAAAGGATAGACTGCATTTTCTCCTATGACATTCATATAGTTTGGTGAAACCTTTAACCTACACACATTTAGTACCTCAGAACATAAGAAAGCTCTAAGGATGTGTGGCTTTCTGTAAAAGCATGGATAGATCTTGATAATAGGCCTTCAGTCATGCAGTCCTCGCCATTTTGCATTGCACTAAAAGATTCTATCAGCACGTCAAGCTTGATTTCAAAAGATCCTATCTTATCCGCCTCCATAATGTGTCTTGGTATCCTAGTTGCCTTTGTCTTGTGAATTTGCCTGACCTCTAAGTTGCTGCATCTGTGTTACATTAGTCTGGAGGCCCTTGTCTTCCAGCCAGAGGTTCAGAGGTCCGAGCTGTAATGTTATGCAGGGACGTTTTCAATGGTGCTCCTGTCACACAAATCCATTTCTTTAGTCGTACAACCAGTTGAAGCATGTTCAGCCATCTAACCCTTTAGTGACCTCCTGGTTTTGTGCTCAGCCTGCTTGTTTACTCAAGATAACTCCGCTGAGGGCCTGTGGTTTGTTCATAGCTCTTGTGATCTCCCTGTACGATAACCGTAGTGTTGCTATCTGCTCTGACAAGTACTCCACTGAGGCAAGAGCAAAATACCAGTCCTCTCCTCACAACAGAATCTCCTGGAAATAACCCTGACAAAAGTTAGCCTTGGTAACATTACCACAAGATTTATTGCGGTTGTACACTGGTGTTGCTTTCCATTTCCTATTGTTTCCACAAGTTTCAGCATTCACTGTAGTTCACTATGGGACAATGGGAATACAGTGATATACCACGATACATTTCTAAGTATTCCATGGTATTCCTATTGACCAAAATAAACATAAAGCATTCCTAAACAGGTGTTGAAAGCATCCGTCCGTCCATATATTTTTTTAACTACTTCATTTCCATCTAATCCTGACCAGAAACAAGCGCAAGGCACGATACACCCTAGACAGGACACCATTCGCACTCACACCAGGACCAATTTCCCCAGAAGCCAATTAACCTACCTTGGACTGTGGGAGAATATGCAAACTCCACACAGAAGCACCCCAGGACCCCAGTTCTAACAATTCAATTCTAACCACCAGGACACGGTGCTGCCGCCACTAATTAATGGGCAAGTTTCTCTTTTCATTTGCAGGAAGGTCCAGGTGATGCCCAGCCTTTGGCGCACTTCCTCGGTAACCCCCAGGAGGAGCAGATGGACGGACAGATCCGGCCTGGGTACTGTGCCAAGCGCTGCCTGGCACACCTCTCCCATACCTGGCATCCAAATGCCAATTTCTCCAGTGCGGGACAACTACCTGGTACAGCAACCATTATGATTATCATGCTTTGGATCTGATTGAACAGAAAGCAAAATATCTCATATTGTTTAAGGTCCAGAGCCTAGTTGCATAAAGTATTGAGTATCTTAAGAATTAAACATCCTTAAGAGGGCACAGAAGGCCATTTCTTCAAAGTCACCTTAAAACCAGCAGCGATCCTAAGCATTTTGAGACTACTTGCAGGGAGAAGAATCAAGGAACAAATTACTGGAAATGTATTTTGTGAAAGTATATTACACATCATTGTGAAGTAATTGTGTTTTTCATATTTGAATCACAGAGGCTGGGTATCAGGTTTAGCTGTGACCAAGAAATATTTCATACACCTTTTCGTGGTAGAAGCATGTTAGATGGTTGTGACACTGAATGGCAAGAGGCAAATGTCTGACTGCTTTACCAAGAGAAGTCCAGATCTTTACTATGGCCTGTAGCTGACTTGAATACTTTAGGTGGGCTGTCCCAGAAACCGCATCTCACATAGTTCAATGGAACAGGTGAGGATTTGAGGGCAGTCATGCCTGTCATCACACTGCCAGTGTATTTGGGTTTTAGCTTTGTCTGTCCTCCCAGAATACCATTTGGGAACACTACCCTAGCAAATTAATCATGTTTGAATTTGATCACCTGTGAAATAGACTGCCAGACAAACGACAGGCCCAGATTTGGCCAACTTCTCAAGCTTTGAAAACCAGTGGACTCATTCAATAAAATATAAGAGTGATTTTGTTCCACTAAATGTCTCACATTCAAGAAACACTGCAGCAGGGGGCTGCTTTACACTCGAGAGAGGAATACAGAGGTCTCAAAGAGTTTTGTTTCCTCTTAAACTCTAAACAGGAAGCCTTACCTTGTGAACAGGTGGCTCGCCTCTTTACTCTAATGTCAGGAGCTCTGTAAGGTCTTGACCCCTTGTTCTGGTGTGTTCTTTAGCAAAGAATGAATGTTTTCATCATCTGCCGACAACTAACAAAACAAGCAAGACAGAGCAATAAGAACTGACTTATTCCCTCACACCACCTGGCCACAGTGACCACCCTGAACTGGAAAA